TAAAATCATTTTGAATAAAATATTTGAATGTGTTGGGGGGGGGGGCACAACACAAACAATTTTTTCCGGAAAAACTAAAGGTATGCAAGTTCTGAAAATCGCATAGCAAATTAAAGCAAATTAATTGCAAAATCATGCAAAGGTCTGGAGTCTGTGGCTTGAAGTGGGGGGAGGGGGGGCAACTTCAAGATCAAAAGCTAAAGAACTTGGATACCGATACATCTGGACAAGGAATGGCAGAACCTTCTGCAAAAAAAACGAGATGACCAAAAAGACACAAATAAAAAGTATCGATAATCTACGTTTTTTATAAATTATCTATAGTATACGCTTTATCGTTATATTCAACCATTGTTTTATTCTGTAATATCTTAGCTAGTTATTCTAATTTTAATAATTTCAGGTTTAATTGGGCAATAACTATAATATTTATAGCTTACTTTCAAATCTTAATTAGATCATATAATAATATAACATTAAGTAGGTTAAGTATACATAAACACAACCAACAGAACATGTTAATTCAGCACTTCTTTCACACTACTAAACTACACTATATGAAAAAAAAAAATTTATAATATTGAATAATCATCAAATTCCTATTCTTATACACTCGTATTCAACAAAATCCATTACTTTTCAAAATTCAATACTTACACAATTATAACATTACCATAATTTTGATAAAAATAAAAACTATAGTACAAATAAAAGTCAATTTAAGATGGATAATGCGTATTTTTCGAACTAATAATGGCTGACAATATACTTAGTAATAATTTTACCAACGACTATAATCAAATAATTACTTATAATGGTACATGAGAAGACATGAAAACGATATTAAATAGGGAACATGCATTAAATATTATACACCTTAATATAAGAAGTGCTAATAAAAATTTTGACGAATTTTGCATAATGTTGGATAGTCAAACAATTATTTTTGATATAATTATTCTAAAAAAAGCTTGGCTAGGCTTACATAATTTAAATGACAGTCAATTTCAAATTCCAAACTATACTATGTACAAGACTACAAACTACATTAATCAAAATGATGGAATAATTGCTTTTATAAATAATTCTATCATAAATACACAAGTAACTGATTTAAACACTAATTTTATGTCTAGTCCAGAAATAAATTGCAAAAAGGGAAATTCAAACTTCACAAATTATGGTATTTACAGACCTCCCCAAATTAATATTAATTCCTTCTTGGATGAATTTGAACAAACTAATCTACATAGAGCCAGAGACAATAAAAGTAACTACGCTATAATAAAAGGTGACTTAAATATAGATATAATCAATAATAGTACAGATAGTAATAACTATCACAATTTAATAAATGAATACGGTTTTATAAGTCTCGTTAACTGTATAACTAGAACTAAAGAAATAGGAGGATCCTGTTTAGATCATGTACTTTTAAAATCTAATACATTAACAAATGTTAAAACGTTTGTTGCCCATACTTCTTTAACTGATCATTACTCAATAGTTACCAGTATAAGCAACCTTGTTTTCAACAGAACAACCCACCAAATCCAAAAATCATAAAACAAGTTGATTATTCAAAACTATCAAGTGTATAAAAGAACTATGATTGATCATCAGTAGTGAACGACTAGAATCTAAATTCTGCGACAAATAAATTTATTGAAGAAAAAAATTGTTCTTTAGAAAAAAAAAATATCATCAAAAAGCAAAAAAATTAAACCTTGGGCAACAACTGCAATTATTATATCAATTCGTCGTAGAGATAAATTACATCTGAGTTTAAAAAAGCATCCATTTAACGAAAAACGTAAACAGTACTATTTAAAATATAGGAATACTTTAACTAACACGATAAAAGAAGCTAAAACTAAATTTTATAAATCTGAATTAGAAAAGGCCGGAAATAACTGGAAACTAAACTGGAAAGTTATTAAAAATGCGACAAACCGTTCTAAAACAAATTCATTTATTTAAACTATTAATAACAAATTTGGTGAAAAACTGCACTCTGCGGATAAGTCAAAAGAAATATCAAATTATTTTAATGAGTACTTTACACATGCAGCACAAAACATGTATAACCAAATAAAACTTACAAGACAAAATATACATAACATAGAATGTACATACACTGAACAACTAATCTCAAATACTATAGACATGTCATTTAATAAATTTAGCGTAATTAATGATGAAGAAATTATAAAAGCAATAAAGGCTTTAAAAGATGATTCTTCTCCAGGATTAGATGGAATTTCAGTGAAAATGCTCAAATTAAATATACATTCATTAATTAAACCATTATCACACATTTTCAATTTAGCTATAACAACATCTACTATTTCGGAATGCTTTAAAATTTCAGTAATAACACCAATACACAAAAAAGGTGACAAATCTAACATTGAAAATTATCGCCTATCTCACAAATATCAAATATTGTCAAATCGTTTGAAAAACTTATTAAAAAAGAATTAGTGCATTACCTTGAAAGTAATAATATTCTATTATGTACCCAATTCGGTTTTCGACCTGGCAAAAGTACTGAACAAGCAATTGCAACAGTATCAAGCTATATTCATAATTCTTTCGAAAATAAAAAAAAATGTGCAACTGTTTACTTAGATCTAGCAAAAGCATTTGATATTATAGATCATAAAATATTACTAAAAAATAATAACACACTTGGTATCAAGGGAACAGCTCAGAATTTAATAAGTTCATACTTAAAAAATGGAAAACAACACGTTTGAATAAACAATGAATTAAGCGAAGAAACGTCAATAATATGTGGTGTACCTACCTCAAGGGACAACTTTATCGCCTACACTGTTTAATATACATATTAACCAAATAAATAACTTGAATACACACGGAAAACTAGTTTGCTACGTAGATGATACAATACTTTTTGTGGAAGGCCAATCCTGGGATGAAGTATTTGCTAGTGCTCAATCTGACATGAGTAAAATTCAAAAATGGCTATGTGAAAATAATTCATTTTTAAACTTAGAAAAAACCTTCATATTAAAACACTATATAGTTAATTCAAATCAACCAAATAAAACAAATCTATGTATACATGAGAATGACTGTTTAAATCAAAATATATGTACATGCCAAACCTTTGTAAAAATAGTTAAAAACTGTAAATACTTAGGTATAGAAATGTGTCATAATCTTAAATGGAATGACCATATAACATTTTTAACAAATAAATTAAGAAAACTTAAGTATGCATTTAAAAATTTAACAGATATCTTAGAACTTAAGACAATTAGAGTAGTGTATCAAGTATTAATAGAATCCATAATTAATTATGGTATTACAATATGGGAAGGTACATATGGTACAACTATATATCCATTTAAAAAAATCCAAAACAAAATACTAAAAATTATCCAAAAAAAAGACTCAAGATACCACACAAAGTATTTATACACGGACATGAACGTACTACCAATAAAAAAATTATTTTATAAAGCGTTGGAATTTACATAATTAAAAATAACCTTGCTTTTAAAACTGAACACGGACACAATACTAGGAAAATATCTAATATTAAAGTACCAACTATGCACACAAAATTAACACAATCCACATACTTATATATTGGTCCAAACATTTTCAATATACTACCAATAGAAATTAAACACAGCAACTCTTTTAAGATTCTTAAAAAAAAATTACACTTTGGCTATTACAAGAACAAAATAAAGAAATACTTATAACAAACGTATAGGATTACTGCATTATTTATCATATTAGTTGTACGACTTAAGTAATTATTGTTAATTTTATATTACCATTTTATATTATATTATTTAACTACACAATGTTTTACATAATACTATATTATATTAACAAAGAGAAAAAACATATATTACTTATATTATAAATATTATAGTTATAGATATGTGAGAAATGTATAAATATTGCAAATTGTAAGTATTTAATTTATAAGAACTATTTAACGTATTAATATTTCAAATTGTGAACTCATGGGCCCCCACACGAACATGTTCAGTGGGGCCCATTATCTTCTTGAAGAATAAAATAAAAATAAAAATAAATAAAAATTATTATAACAACATGAAATAATATTTATTTACAGTTTCAATTTATACAGGTACCTAATAATATTTTATTATAATTTTGAATTTGTTGTACTACAACCAATATTATAGGCTTGTGGACCAAATGGTAATCCCAAGATGACGGAAGATGAAAAGTTTTCATAGACATTATAAAATCTAATTTCATACACCAGGTCTTTGACATACTCATGCAAACCCAAAGTCAAACGGTTTTAAAAATGGACTCAATACGAAACAATGTAATGAATTATAAAAGAAGGAATCTATACACAAAGGAGAATACTTACAAGATACTTGAAATAAATAAAAAAATTAAACCATTGACTGCTTAACTTATATAAAAAATATTGAAAATATATTCCATCATACAAATTTAATTCAAAATAATAATGATTACGACGTTGTTTCATATTAAATGTAGTATACTTTTAAATGACTATACTATGGCAATTATTGTAACGGTACTTCATTAATACACACACACATACACATACACACATTTTAAATCACGCCTGTTTGAAAAAGACAGTCCTAAGCATGTTCAAGTGAGAAGAAAAATGTGTTGGTATCAATTTGTATGTTACCAAAAACATAAATAGCAAGTTATAACCCACGAAGTATGTAACTACAATTTAAATATAACTTACTTCTTTCATTTTACTTGACATAAATTTTAAAATTTTTCTTTCAATGCCCTAACAGTTAAAATTAACTTGATTGGTGAATAAAATACATAATATGAATACGTTTAGGAAAAATTACTACAAATTATTTAAAAGTGGCATTTTAATTAACTGTAATTTGAATGAAGTCTACAACTGTACATTTTATTTGAAACTCTTCCTTTTATCAGCATTTATCATAATAATACAACATTATGTAGAAGAATTTTCTTACCCTCGCTCGCGTTTCCTGGTCCTCTGCCATAACCGTGATGTGTCGCGAGTCGGTAGGTGAGAGATCTGCCCCGGCGTGAACTAACTTCTCGAGAGGTTGGGGACTCAACAACTACTGGTCAAAGTGTTACGCGAAGTTGAAAACGAGAGAGCACAATCAAAGTACCTATGGTCGCCACCAGTCGCTAACATAACGGACCAAACCATTAAAAGCAGGCTCGATCGTAGACGCAACACGATATTTATTTTTGTACATTTATACAGTATAATATACTATAGAGACCGGTCATGTACACATGTGGCGCGGACAGCGGACACTGCGTGAACTTCTTTCGGGAGTGATAAAATATGATAATTATTGTAATTTATAATAGGTACGCATGATGTAGACATGTAGTAGGTATAGTATACTAGCATTGATTATAAATACTGTAGATTGCTCACTGGCCGTGTTTTCGTTTTCCGTTTTAAATATATTATAATCAATGGTGTTATTTTGAATATTTCTTACTTACACAGTCATATGGGTTGTAGAAAAATTTATTTTTTACCATTTAATAATAATAATTATGATTATAAATTTATAAAATAGAATTGTATACGTTTATGTGTTGTCATGAACACATAAACCTTCCGATTCTAAATAATTTTGTATTATGTACAACTTTACAAGCATTAGAATAGGTCTTGTTTATTGTTATTTTAAGTAAATTCGATTATCCGATCGATTATTACGTATTTATTATTGTCGACTAGTGCATATTAACTATTTTCTGTTTTGACTAACGTTTGTTTTCGATTTATTGAAAGTGAATATTTAAATATGTCTGGTGGTGATAGATGTTATTACTTAAATTGTAATAAAACTCGAAAAACGAGTAAAAATGTTTTTCATTTAATCCCATCTTCTGATCTAGAAGTGTATAGGAAATGGGTAATAAACTCAGGTAAGTAATTTTTGAAACTAAATAATTACTACAAAAATAAAATTTACCTAGGCCTAAGCATATAGGTATACTAATAGTATTTCATGTTTACACATTTTTTAAGAAACATATGCTTAGAAGGGTTAAGTCCGAAAACATTAAAGATACATTTGTTCGGATCATTTCAAAAAACAAATGTATATGAATCCTAATGATCCGAAATCCCGTCTAAAGCCATATTATGCTGTTCCAGTAAAATGTACAGGTTTATATTTAAAATAAATATAATAAATAATATAGAAGTTATAGGTAGTTAATACAAATATTAATGTATAACAAAAAAAAATGTTTCATATATATAATAGATTTAAATATTGATGCCACCAATTATACACAAAACAGTAAACGACCAAAGCGAATACACTCCGTCTATGGTAAACAATTATTATAAGAAAATTATATTTTATCAAACAAAATATATCTAATACTTGAATAATATAATAATTGTTTAAATTGTATATATAGATGAAACGTATGTAGTTAAATCTCCTAAAGCTTGGACTTGGAGTGCATCAAAACTAGGAGTTAACGAAGGTAACACACACATTTTATCCGAAGATGTATGTGTTAATGAGACAATAAATACGACGCCAAAAAAATCACGAAGGCGCACTAGTAAAATGGACGAAGGTATGATTTATTTAAATTTATTTTAGAATAAACCGACGAGTACATTTATATTTACATAAATAATCAATAGGTACACATATTAGGAAAATATTTTGAGCTGTTTACGGACATTTTCAGTTGGGGTCTTTTTTTTGATATACACCATTGATTTTAGAATATACAGATAAGCGGTACTGTGTATTATAGCGGCGACCACAAAAGAGCGCTCTAATCGCCGACGGCAAAGGTGATGTTCCCCGTCATAGTATGAATAGCGGGAAGTGATTACATATTTACATCGTCATTGGCGGCGCGACGCTCGTAATAATGTATATTTCATGGCTAAATCATGACAAAGTAGATAGGTATGATGACAACTTTTTTTGTGCGCATAACCACCGCGCGTTCCCTGTCCACAGTGTAGTTCGCCATCTCTCATTGGTTTTTGATAATATAGATCTTATCACTATTTCTGTATCTATCTATTAAAATATTTAAATATTTTGCAAATTTCTATTTAACAAATAACAATATTCAACATCAACGTTTAATATTATGTAAATACAATTACAAAATAGTTATAAAATAATAAGTCGTACACAGTAATACAATAAAACAACAGGTAAGTACAATTTTGTTTACGTAATTATGTAGTATATAATATATATATTGTGTTAATTACAGAACTTAATAAGTTTCTTATTTTTACATGGTTTTTTAGTGTATAATAGAGCAGAATTTAAATTATTTAATCGTATAAATGTCCTTGTTCTTACTAAACACTGTATTACTTCTTTCGGTATATTTTGTGAGGATACTTTAGACCATAAAATGTCAGTTAAATATTTCATAACATTGGTTATTTTTGATATACTATCTTTGTGTAGTTTTTTAAACTCTATTTCCAATATTTTTACAGTTTCCATTAGTTGTTTAGATGGAATTTTAAGTCCACCTCTAGAAATATGTTCGATCCAAGAAGAATCATCTCCATCTGTGTTGATTAAATGTGGGTATTTATTACAAAATTTATTTGTGACATACCCAGCTACATATTTAGCAGCTTCATACTCAAGTTGGTCAAATGAATTACTAGAATCAACCTGTGGTATAAAATTCAAATTTTTGAAAACTATTCACACAATATTTTAAGATTCTTACTTTAATAAGGAAGTACCTAGGTAATTATCAAGGTTTAAATTTTTAATTTTTATACTTACAAACATTTCAAATTGTTTTAGTAGGTCAAGCCCTTCTGGTTGAACTAATGTTGTATCTTCTCCTAACTCCAATATGACATCATCAAATTTAGGAATGATTTCAGAGCATTGAATAAATTGGCTAGTTAAACATTCGTTTTCACTTAAAAGGTTTATTTCATTTCCACACTCAGAGTTGGTATTATTGGTGAAAATACAATTGGAATGTTTCCCAAGAATGTACCAGCGAAGACTGAAAAGTAGGTATAATATTATAATATTATACTACCTACACAGTTTAACTTAACCCATATCTGTATTTAAAATCAAGCACAGTTAAATTATTACTGGCACTACCACACATTCCTTTCAGATAACTGAATGTATTTTCTACTAGATCTTGGTTTAAATTTCTTGTGGTAATATACAATATTTCTTCATTATAATTTTTTAAATTGTCCCACAACATCATTAACGAATTATTTGATATTAAAATTCCTAAAAAATAATATTAAATATAATATAGTATTAATATTATTATTCCTAAACTTATCAACCTTTTTGAAATGGAAGTAATGTTCCTTTTTTTTTTCCATGTACAATCATCTTAGAAATGAACTCGTTCATTTCTAAAAGAAGATTTTTTTGATTTATAATGTCAAGTCCAAAACTTGGTCTTCCATGGTCGTATTTGTGTGAAGAATTATGCAAATCAAACCAATCATTAAATAATTTAATCATTGTTGATGCCTAAAAAATAATAAAGTTTGTTTATTTCTAACATTGTCTTGTATACATTTTTAAATTATTAAATTCACTTCTTTCCAATTATAGGTATTAAAATGTCCATTTTGTCCTGCATATGATATTGCTTTAGCAACTGAATTTGAAAAAATGTGTGCTGCAAGTTTTACATTCATCCTGGAAGTTCCCTCAACCAAAAGATGACGTTCACAAAGTTTATGTGCAATTTTATAATCGTTTTCACTATTTATATTAATTAATTAATTCTTGAAGAATATTTTTACCAACAAACTTTTCATTAGATAAAATATATCCTCTAAAAAATATTACATTAAGGTATCATAATATTATTGTATAATTGTTAAATAATGTGTTACTGGTCAATAAAATGATTCCTAGCTAACTTTAACAGATGAGGAACATCTGCAAACACATATACATTATTGGTTGTTGCAGGATGAGGAAAAGATACATTATCAATGGAGATATTTAAGTCTCTCCATAGACCCATGTTAGTTGCACCCATGTCATTTACTATGGCAATAACATTGTACCCTACGTCATATAACTCCTGTATTATTTTAAGTAACAGTTCTGGTTT